TATATTCCCCACCCCACTGTTATATAAAAAATGGATTCAGAAAACTTATACCAACACGTACAGTTCTGGGACGTTGACTGCGTTCTTCACATTGTGACAACAACAAAGCTTTACTCTTTGGGCACCAGCACTGCACTCTCTCAGGGAGGCTGCGCTCCCTCAGGGAGGCTGCTCTCCCTCAGGGAGGCTCCTCTCTCTCAGGGAAGCTGCTCTCCCTCAGGGAGGCTGCTCTCTCAGGAAAGCTGTTCTCAGTCCCTCTGCTCTGCAGGGACTTTGCCTGTCACCTTCAACCCTGCTATCCACAACTTCAACAGTATCTCCTGAGCTTATCTGGCTGGCTAATTGGAGACACCATTTAAAGGCTAACTTAATTGGAAAACAGCACTGTAATTTAGATATGATGACTTACCTTTAAAAGGAAAATATTAACTTCTTTTAGGCCATAACTTTATGATAGGAACTACAAAATTGAAAAGCAAGATTCTTGGTTTTTTAATAGCATAAAAAATGTTTTTTTCTCAATTCATCTTTCACTTTTTAACCTTCATAAGTACAATCCATTTCATGCCAAATGTACCTTCAGGGAAAGATAGTCTCTTTTTCTCTATTCCTGCCTGCTCTGAGGTTTTGCTGTTTGGTGCATTAAGTTGGCCACAACTCATAGCGTTCCTGTGTACACAGGGCAAAATGCTGCCCGGTCCTACAGAGTGTTTACAATCAGTGCTTGGTGTGTTGGAGTCCATCTTTCTCAGCCACATGTCAGCCCGTATCATTGAGGGCCTTCCTCCTTTTCAGTGACCCTCTGTTTTAGCAGGCATGATGTCCTTTCAAGGGGCTGGTTCCTCTTGGTAACTTGTCCAGAGTACATGAGATAAAGTCTCACCATCCATTCTGATTATATTTCCTGCATTTGTTCAGATCTTTCACTTCTGCCCCTTACTGTATGATGACACCTAACAACAACAACAACATTTCCATGGAGGAGTAGGGAGAGAAGGCTACATTTCCCTAAAGTCATACTTTGCCTGAGATGGATTGAATTTATAGAATAGTCATGAAGTAAAGAAGTGAAAGCGGAATTAGGGGAGGAAGGGGGGAGAAGTATAAACTATTTTTGTATTATGAAAAAAATAAGTCTTATTTTACAATTCCAGGGGCATAACCTCACTAAGCTTCAGTTGCTTTGTCTTTACGTTGGAGAGAATCATAGTAATCTGTTTCTCAGAGTTTGAGTGATACTTAGAAGACATATTTGTGCAAAATCCAGACCAGGGGCACATGACAAAGTGGAGTCTCGTCTTTGTCTAACCCCAATGTTCATGTTCTACCTCTATCTTAAAAAGAGGAGAGGACGCTTTCCCACTTCCTCTGAGCAAGTCTCTGAAGAGCAGACTATGTGATTCTGTCCCAAGTCTTTTCTCCTCAAGGTGGGACTCGCGTGCTGGGTCTCTGGGTCGCTCTCCAGGATGGCACTGTCAGCTCGTACAAACATGCATGAAATTTGGGAGGATCCTCAGAAGCTGCTCAACCCAACACAGAGAAGGGATTTTTCCGCAAACATTTCCATGACGTGCCAGCCCTCTCTTCTCACTGCTAACCGAAAGGTTGATGGTTCAAGACCACTCAGAGGTGCCACAGAAGAAAGGCTTGTCCCTGGTCAGCCTGGTCCACCTCCATGCCGTTGTTCATAATGGCTCTCTTCTTTGCCCACTCTAGTAATGCATGCTATTATGGATTGTATTTCACGCCTCCTCCTCCAGGTAGCCTTCTTTCCTAGTTCTCTCAGTTTAAGCAATTTCTCCTCCTAGTGCATCCTTAAGATTCTTAATATGTGTTAGGTCACAGTTATGCAGTCCTGTGGACACATCTTCACTCTACAGCCAGATTAGAAGACACTGGACTTCCAAGATGAGGTCTTTTCCTTCCAACAACCAGTCAGACCTCTTTGCACGCACACTTTAAAAAAAATAATTGAATTCTCCTGTTGGGTGATCTTTTTAAAGAAGAGCTGGGAAAGGAATATGCAGAGTGCTTACTATCTTCTAAGCACCATGACAGACCTGAAAAGTGGTACTTACAATATTGAATTTAAACTTTGTGGATTCTCTGTGAAGCAGTTCTTGCAATTCCTGTTTTAGAGATCAGGAAATTTAGGGTCTAAGACATAAGTAAGTGGCTTGAGGCCATAAACCGTAAGAGAGGAGCAAGAGCTGAGGCTCAAATCCAAATGGGTTTCATAGGCTGACTGGTCCCCAAAGATGGTTCCCAGCGGACCTCCTATGCCAGACCCACCTGCACTGATGTAGCCCCCTCCTCAGTGGACCTGGGCTGGTCCTCAGACTCGCGTTAAGCAGTAGAATCCCATGGATGTGAGACTATTTCAGTTTGGGCCTAGCCTTCAAGGAGACTGACATTTTTGTCCTCTGTTCTGGGATCAGGGTGGATTACCCAGTGAGCAAGGTCAGAGCATGGGCCTACTTGTGCGTACGTATTCATCTTTAATGAACACGCTTATCTGTAGTGAACGATTCCACATGGTTTTCACCATATCCTTGGATATAGTAAGAAGAAGGAGAAGGAGAAACGACCAGATCTGTGAAACTGACCACTACAGATTAGTAAGCAAGCACAAGTGAGCCTGGTTTGCCTTGCTTTCTGGGTTCTCTGTGCCTGTGAGGGAATGTAGACTTGGAAAAGGGGCTTTGAATCCTGTCGTGGGGTTGGGAGGGACAGAAGACAGCCGTACCTGGAAGCAGAATCTTTGGCAAAAAATAAGAAGTTGCTTATCCACATTAGTGAGAAAGGGCACGCTTGTTTCTTGAGTAATCGGACACTTCCTGGGAGCTTGGACCTCAGTGCTGAATGAGCTCCCTTTTAAGAAACGCAGTCCCCTGCTGGAGAGATCTCTACTCCAGGGAAGGTCCTGAAGTTACCTGGGAGACATAACAGCCCAGGTCTAGGCTTCTCAGCGTCCCCATCAACTGCTGTCTGTATTGCAACCGCATTAGTGTTCTCAAGGAGGAGAAGCAGAAGCACTGCCCAGCTGAGCCCAGACAGCACACTGCAGAGTGCAGCAGAATAGACACAGCGGTTGTCTGAAGCCACAGAGGGAGTTTGTTGCACAGCAAGAAATAACCAAGAGTCTGGCATGGGACTGCACGTCTGCTATGTGTTACCACTGCCCTGCGCTCTCCTACACAGTGATCAGTGCCCAGTCCCATTCTGAAACAGTGGATGATCACCCCCAACCCCCAAAACAATGGTGCAGGCCAGCTTCTGCATCTGAGGAGTTGTAGAGTCAAGAATGCAGGCTGAAAACAAAGACTTGAAGTACTTACTGAAGAAGATCAAAGAATAGAGCCTTCCATCTTAGCATTAGGAAAACAAAAGTACTCACAAGTGGACAGATAAGCAACAGTGTGATGAATGGAGAAAAGGTGAAGATTTGGCCACCAGCACCCATGGGAACAGCAGTTACAAAGTCAAATGACAGGTGTGGTGAGTGAGTCTACTGAAGAACAGATTGACAGTGCTGAAGAGCAGGGCTGTCAGTTTAAAGACCACGGTGCATCTGACCCAAGCCGTGGTGTTTCCAATTGTTTCCTCATGTGCATGTGAAAGTTGGACAATGAATAAGAAAGGCTGAAGAAGGATTGAGGTCTTTGAGTTGTACTCAGTATCCCATTGACTGATGAAGGAACAAACAAAAGTGTCTCAGGAGAAATGCAACCAAGACGCTCCCTACAGGTGAGAGTGATGAGACTTGAGCTCACATACTTTGATTACCAAGCCCTGGAGAAGGACATCATAGATGGTAACCTAGAGGGTCAGCAGAAATGTAAAAGATCGTGAAGAAGATGAGTTGACACATGGATGCAAAGCAGTGATTGTGAGGGTGGCACACAACAAGGTGGTGAGAGCAACAGGGCCTGTGGCCTCCTGTGGGCTTGTGAGTCAGAAGTGACTTTACAGCAGCTAACAAGTAACAGTAACTCTCTCAGAGGGAAACATAGGGAGTAAATGAAAGACTGCCAATAAAATGTTTCCATTTGTATCACTATTACCATCCTCCCCAAAATCAGAAATTCATGGGGCTGACCAGCTCTGGGTTTCCTGAAGTCTCTGTGACTTTGCATTCACCCTGATCTGCTCTCTCTACTTGTAGATATCAACCAACTCCATCTCTGTGGATGGACCATGTCAGCAGCATCGTCAAGCTCGAAACACTGAATTGGCACCACCAATCTAGAGACTAGCAAGAGACTTGTTTTTCTTTCTTGTGCTCTGGATGAAAGTTCACAGAGCATATTAACTTCCCATTCAACAACTGACAGGAAGCTCTGGTGGTCCAGGAGGAAGGAGCTGCACTGCCAGTCCACAGCTGGTTCAAATCCACCAGCTTCTCTGAGGAAGACGTTTGGGCAGTCTCCTCCCAAGTGAGTTACAGTGATTTATTTCATCACATTAGTTGCAGTCTCTTCAGGGGATCAGCCTTCTTCCTACTTCCTCTCTGGCTTCCTCATCTCCATTCATCCTTTTCTGCCTTCTGAGCTTTGTCCTTGGGCAAACGCTATCCTCTGGGTCTTGTGTGGTCTGTATTTTGAGTCAGCTCCCCACTTGGCACAGTGGTGTTCACTCTGTAGGCCTCTCAGCTGTTGAGCTGAAAGCTGATCCTGGGGGTGGGTTCAGACCCAGGCTTGTCTTGGTTGAGTCAAAAGTGAAACTGAAGAGGGAGAGTTGGGGACAGAGTGGGAGAGGATTAAAGATTAGCTCTGGCCCAGGGCCAGGGCATTGACCTTTGGCCATTCATTTAGAAATAAGCCAGTGCAGCTTCTCCCAGTGTGGAAGGGAGAGCAGGCCCTCTGGGCAGGAAGGGGAGCGTGAAGGAGGTGAAGGAGGCAGCGGAGGGGCAGGGGAGCAAGGGAAGCTGGCCAGAGGGAGGGAGGAGGAACTGGGGCCAGTTTCTCTGAAGGCTGCAGACTGTGCACTGTCACCCTCTGGACACCTGACATGGAGCTCATATTTGGCAGGAATAAGAAGGAACAACTGGAGCCCGTGAAGGCCCACGTGACGGGTGAGCATTGGCCACTTCTGTGCAAAATCAAGTCTGTCTTGTGTGGTTAGAGCTGGACCTTTTTTCTGTGTAATAATTTGTGTAATATCTAGAGGACAGTATATAGAGCAAAGGGACCTATAACTCAGCTACATTCTTGGTGAAAATCTAGGGATGTTGATTTGCTTTATGCTCCCCGTGCCTGAGGGCAGAGTAACCATCACTATGTCCAGAAGGAAAGTTCCAGGAATGCTCCAAATTGATGCCCCACGTTCACACACATCACACACTTATCCTCCCACATTCAATACATAGATTTTCATTTAATTTCCATCATTATAAAGTGACAAAAACATGAAAAATCTTGGTGGTTCAAACCCACCCAGTAACTCTGAGATTTAAGATCTAATGAAAAGATTATAGTCCAGAAATTCTATGGGACAGTTCTGCTTTGATACAGGGTCACTGTGACTTGGAATCTGCTCTGTGACACCCAACAACAATATGTAAATCCATAATTGCTATGTAAAACATATTCTGTAATATATATTTACAATCAGACTATGCTCCAAAATGTTAGCTCTTCCAAGTGCATGATGTATTGTGCAAATGTAGGCATCACGAGTCCATCATCTCAGAACAGACAGGGAGCTTGCACGGGTCCCACTCCTGCGTGTGCACACATGGAGGGCATTGCTGGTGTCAGTCATTTTCTTTCCAGTCGCCATGGGTGTGATTTCAATATGTGTGTGTTTGCACAATTGATAACAAAGGCCCAGAGAGGAGCACTCTTCAGGAACAAAGCTTTCTTCACCTCCTATTTTCTCTCCTCTTTTGGGGTACTGCTTTCTTGGCACCACTTTGTTTTACACTCTGAAGGGCAGTGTCTGGGTCTGAACCCTTGGGCATCAGTGTGTTAGTGGCACTGGCCAGTGGTCTGAGGGTAGCTGCTGACTGCAGCAGTGAGATGGCATCAGGCGAGTGGGGGACGTGTTGGATCTTCTGGCTAAAGGCATGAAGCTTTTTCAGAAGAGGACAATCTCTCTCTCTCTCTCTCTTTCTTTCTCGGTTCCGGGGTCAGAACCAACCCATAGTTGACTCTCCATTGGGTTTCTGAGGCACGAGAGGAGACTGCCAACTTTCTCCCTTGAAACCACTGATGGATGTGAATGACCAGGAAAGCGTGGCCTTTGGGCTAGCAGTGAACCTCCCTGAGGACAAACTCCACATTTTGAGGGGGGCAGGAAGGGAAAACTGGAGATTTCTAACTGGAGATTTGTCTTGAATTATTTTTTCTGATTATAAAGGTAATCATAGATATAAAATATTATTTTTTATTATATTGTATTAAGTGATAATAAAATGTACAACTATATTATATTTTTAGAACATAAACATAATAAATTATAATGTAGCTATATACAATATAATAGAAATATACATATTTAAAATATTAGTCAATGTATTTTTGTACCTTACCTTTGTAATGAGAAACATCCTCTGACCTCATCTCACTCCTACGTGTCAACGTGGAATTGTACTGACCTCCTCTGACTCCTGCATGTCAGAGTGAATTGTACTCTGTAGGATTTCCATTCACTCATTTGTTGCTGTTGAGTCAGAACAGACTCATTGCTGGCCCTCCTGTGGGCTTTCAGGGGCTATAAATTACAGGAGAAGAAATTACTCATCTTTATCTCTCAGAGAAACTGGTGGATTTGAACTCCCTACCTTTGGGCTGACAGCACAGTCCATTATACAATAAGCCACCTCTGTAGGATTTCTAGTGACTGGTTTTCCAAAACTAGATTTGCAGACCTTGCTTCTGGGTAGACTCAAACCTCCAACCTTATGATAGCAGCTGAGTGCTTTGACCATTTGTATATAAAGTTAAGAAGTACAAATGATAACATAGAAGTAAATACAAATCAGCTCCTAGCATACTGTCCCCAGACCTGCAGCATCAGTATCATATGAGACCTGGTTGGAAGCAAATTCCTGGGCCCCCCTACAGACCCCTTGGCACTGGGGTGGGGACTGACATTGTTCCCACAAACCCTCCAAATGATTCCAAGTCTGATGACATTTGCTCTAGACTTGGCTCCCCCACATAACCGAGGTGATGCCTGTTAGGTGTCCGGTTGGTTTGTGTTTATGGCGACTCTGTGTAGAGCAGGATGAAGCACTGACTGGTCTGTGCCAGCCTCACCATCACAGCTAGCTTGAGCTCATTGTCATAGCCTCTGTATGAACCCTCTCGCTCAGGGCTTTCCTCTTTCTCATGACCTTTTATCTAGACTTTAGAGGGGCGGTGAAAAAAGGGGAAGCCCCTCAGTGAGATGGACTGCAACAATGGACTTGACCATGGCGGAGGTTATGAGGACGCTGCATGACCTGGTGTTCACAGTCACTCAGTGGCACTATTTTACCAATCACAGTGACTTTCTTAAGGGACTGGCCCCCCCAATTCACGACCAAAGTGTGTAAGATCAAGCCTCACCATCCTTCCTTCCATACTTGATCTTAGTAAAAGGCTGAGGAGCGATACCATCCTTGCTTCTTTTTTTTGTTTGCTTGGGGTTTTTTTTTGATCTTTTTTTTATTAAATTTTATTAGTTTTAATGAACATTTACAGAGATTTTGGGTTTTCATTCATTCATTGTTGCACTGTTTTCTCCACCCTCCTCCCCAGTTCGTTCTTCTTCCCCCCCCCATGTCTGTTTTAATTATCCAATTGCCACAGTGCTTGTCAAAGTCAGTTCTGATTAATCTCCTTTGTTAGTGTGTCCTTTGCCATTCCCTATCACTCCTCCCTGAGAGAGACTTCACCCTGGTTCATAAGGAAAAGGGGATGGTGTATTCTCTTAGCTACTTCCTGCTGAAAAGGGACGCTGTGGGTTTCAGGGTGAAGGTCTTCTCTCACTACTCTAAAGGGCCCCCTTGGCAGTAGGAAACACATAGACTATTATGGAGATTGATTTTGGAATTTAGATGCACTGTTATCAGTTGTGCTTAGCCGTACATGTTCATATCCTTGAAGATGTATCATGGAAGTGTTGCAGCCTAGAAGATACAAAATTTAACTAACAAGTTAAAAGTGCATGAGTCAAAAATTGAAAAGCAATAATATTCTGAGTAGAGGTTCTAATAGTGGCACAAATCAAGTTACAGAGGTAAGGTGGTTCCATTACCATCTTTACTCTAACTTAATTCTTTTTTTTTTAATTTAAATTTGTTATTAATTTCAGTGAAAATTTACAGAGGCTTTGAATTTCCATTCATTCATTGTTGTAGATCATCCTTGCTTCTAAGGAGCATTCTGGCTGCGCCTTCTCCAAGACAGAGTTGTTCTCGTGATGATCTGTGGCCTCAGTGCCAAGGCCAAGTCTTCCAGCCTTTTAGGCTTGGCCTTGTAAACTGGAAACTAAGTATTCTTTCTCTTAACAGGCAAGATCCCAACATGGCTGCAGGGCACTCTGCTTCGGAATGGGCCTGGGATGCACACGGTGGGAGAGACCAGGTACAACCACTGGTTTGATGGCCTGGCCTTGCTGCACAGCTTCACGATTCGAGACAGTAAGAGACCTGTATGAGTTTCCTGTTGCTGATATAACAACTTAAAATATAAACTAAGTAGCTTAAAAGAACCTCAGGGTATTGTTGGCAAAGCTGCATATCTTCTGCAGGCTTTAGAGGAGAATCCATCCTGATCTTTCCAGCTTTTGGGGGACACCTGCCTTCCTGAGGGATGGTGGCCCCATCTTTACCTTCAGAGCTAACAACATAACATTTTTTCAATCTCTTTTTTCTCACTGCCTCTATCCTCATCTCTTCTCTCTGATTCAGACCCTCCTTTCTCCTTATTATTAGGATTCTTGTGATTACATTGACCTCCATGGATAATCTGGTGTACCTTCTCATCTCAGAATCCTTAACTACATCTGAAAAGTCCCTTTTGCCATGCCAAGTAACATATCCAAGAAGTTCAGGACTTAGGCTGAGAACTTTGCTGGAGGTCCATTATTTAGCCTACCTCCAGCACAAGTGTTTTTCCTTAGCAAGGTGGCCAGTGTCCTTTGGCCAAGTAGCAAGTTCATCTTACAAAATGAACAAATAAAATTGGATGGAGTTGATCAAGGTGCATAAATGATATCTAGGAACTCTCTTTTCTAGAGGTTTTCCCCGAGGGTCTAAAATAGTCGTTAATATTTTTTTTTAATGTAAGTATAGAGAATGATTGGCAAAAAAAATCAGTATGCTTTGTAAACTTTCATTTAAATCACTTTTAAAAAAAAAGACTTATGCCACATATTAACTAGGCATTGAAATTACAGAGCCATTTCTCCCATGGAAAATAATGTCCAAGAGTCTAGTTTGAAACAGAGTTGTGGCCATTGTCCTGCGTAGATTTGAACATGTGATTCCAAGGTTCAGAGTCACTAGGGCTCAGATTAGATGAGCTCTTGAGAACTCTGTCTTTGCACAGCTTGGCCTCTCAGCCATGGTTGTTCCAAAGTAGCCTTTTGGAATGTTTACCCTTCCCCTTCCCCCCCAAGATAAAATTCTTCCCTCCTTCCACCAAAAAAGATACACATTTGTATACATTCTAGGAGCTCCCTGGCTGTAGCATATCTGTTTCTTTGATCTGCCTTGGGAGGAATGTGTTAATTGCACCCTTCTCAGAATGGGAGGGATGTGCAGGACTCCCCTTTTCCGCTGGACCTCAGAGCCTTGCACCAAACTTGAGTGATTCCAGAGACACATTATTCCGAGTCCCCAGGAGCTCAGAGGGTGCTTGGTCAGAGGAAATAGGTTGAGTGTTTACATTTCAAATGAACAGAACTAAGTGTGTCAGACAAAGTGCTCTCCAGAGCTCTCAGAGCCTCAGTCAGTGCCTAGTAGACACTGTCCTTCAGAAAGTGACCAAGGTGGTCCTGAGACAGGTGTCCGTGTGCCTCATAAACCTCCAGGAGCAAAACAGACATTCGGATGGCAGGGAAGAAGAACAAACTGGGGAGGAGGGTAGAGAGAATGGTGCAGCAATGAAGGAATGAAAACCCCAAATCCCTGTAAATGTTCATTAAAACTAATAAAATTTAATAAAAAAAAATAAACCTCCAGGAGCATCTCTTTGACATTAGAATTCTTTTGATGATGATCGCAGCCTGCACCTATCAAGGGCATGCTGTGTGCTAACCACTAAGTTAAATATCTTCTTTCATCTCATTCAAAACTCCCAGCCCTGTGAGGGGTGGAATAAGAGGCTCTCAATTTCAAGATGAGGAAGCAGAAACATAATGATATTAAGAGATATCCTGAAAAGGCCATAGTGTGGATTCTAACTGACCCTGGAGCCAAGATTTTGTCCGCCATGTCCACTGCACTCCCAAGCTGCACTCTAGTCTTTACTGAACACTTACTGTGTTCTGGGCGCCTTTGGTGGTGTGGTGCCCGCTGCCATGAGTCAGTTCTAATCTGTGTACAACACACTGAAGTGCTCTCTGGCCCTGCACATCTTTTGTTCCTTTGCGTCTTTGAGTTCTTTGTTGTGGCAGTGGCGTCTGTCCACCTCATTGGACCCACTGGATAAGACTTAAATGACACAGCAACCTCTTAAAAAAGCCTTTTGACCCTCATGTCCAGGGAAGAGGGTGAGGCTTGACCTGGACACAAGATCAAGCATATAGCTGATAGACAATCCATGAAGACAGTCTATGAATAATCACAGCAAAGATCCTAGTCCATACGGAGACTTCAAGCTCCCCAGGGCCAAGGAACTTGCCTATCATGATTGTTATTTTACCTACACTTCCTGGCTCATAATAATTGTCAGGTGCATGAATCCAGGTTGGTTAACCCAAGGGTGTAGGCATCCATGGATTAACTCTATCAAACACAGATTTGGGAGTTAGATCACCCCTTGGTGGGAGTAGATAACGAATGTTACTCCACTGGGTTGCAGTGGTCAACTAAGTAGTGTTTGAAAGTAGAGCTCACAGGATGGGAGGGTACCCTTGGGGCAATCCAGTCCAGATATGCAGCTGCCTGGACTAGTGCTCTAAATCTGGCCTTGAGTTAGAGGGACACCAGTATGTGGAATGCAGGTCCATGACTGGTTTGATGCCGCTCCAATGGGCACCACCGAGAGAGGTGATTGGTTTAAGAGCTTTAGTTCCTTCAGCCCTGAGAACATGGCTGTGGGTCTCAGGTTAGATGTGCTGAAAGCACCCCCAAGTTCTGGTTGTTTCAGGAGCAGTAAATGAGATGGTCCTTTAACTAACCCCATGCCTCTCAGGGAAAGCTCTGGAATGGCTGAGATGGAATGCTCATCCCTGCAGAAGTGTCAGCCTGACACCTGCTGCATCTTCTCTTTCAGGTGAAGTCTACTACAGGAGCAAATACCTGAGAAGCAGCACCTACACCGCCAACATCGAGGCAAACCGGATTGTGGTGTCCGAGTTTGGGACGATGGCCTATCCAGACCCCTGCAAAAACGTATTTGCCAAGTAACTGCCCATTCTGATTCTGGTTGTGTATTCCCGGTGATAAAACAAGCTAGCAGCAGTCCTCTGACAAAGCTGCCTACTCTCACTAGCCTGAGGTCACGGGAGCCTGCGGTTCTGGATCCAGCAGCCCACTGTAGACTCAGAACCACTTGTAGCTGGCCCTCAGGGGGGTTTCCGAGGCTCTGACTGGCGCAGGAGAAGACTGTCCATCTTTCTCCCTCAGAGTTGCCGATGGCTTGAAACCGCCTGCCTTTGAGTTGTCAGTACAATTCCTCATCCCCCAGGCCTCCGGATAGCCCAAAGGGTAGGAGGGACAGAATTGTAAAGCACTTGCTGTTACATTTTTGGTCAGTAGGGGAGGACTAAACAACACCTGGCCCCAGTATTTGCCAACTTCACCACCAAGAACTTCTTTTTCCCCCTCACTTTGATTCTCTCTTCTGATCAAACTCATCATGAATTAAGAATTTATATGCCCGAACTTGAGAGGATCCCTCCCCCACAAAATATCTTGACAAGCTTGAAGAAGTTAGTGTGGATTCACTTTCCTGCACATGGCTGGGATTTGCTGGGCTTTACTAGTCTTGGGGAACATTATGGTATATATGTGATTCCTGTAGGCTTGTTGTAGTGATTCAGAACAGCCCATCAACAATGCTGCTGGAGGTGGTGGAGACCTGAGGGTTGTTGAGAGTCCGGGAGAGATTGATTGACTGTCATGTTGTCCTGACTGACACACTTCTGAGCTCATTCTGCATGCTAGTGTCTTTGGGCAAGTTGATCTCTGAGCCCTCAGACTCCTTAAGTAGCCTTTCGAGACCTGGTACCCTTTCTTCTTTAATTGAAATAAAGTGCTTTGCGTGGTAAGGTAATAAGGCTGTCTAGGCCAAGCTTTCCAACTGGGGAGCACAGCCATCGACCTTCCCTTTGATCTGCTTTTGCCCTAGAGCTTTCTCCTACTTGTCCCACACCATCCCAGATTTCACCGACAACTGCCTCATTAACATCATGAGGTGTGGAGAAGACTTCTATGCAACCACAGAAACCAATTACATCAGGAAAATCAACCCACAGACTCTGGAAACCCTGGAGAAGGTACTAGCTGCACCAGCCATCACTCCCTGACTCAGTGAGGCATCCAGAACTCAGTGGAGGGGCCCCCTCTTGTAATTCCAGCCAGTGCTGGGATTCTCCTCACTCAGCACCGGCCTAGACAACAGATCCTGTAGGACAGGGACTGTGTTGTTCTCGTCCTCGTGCCCAGCTGCTTGTCCCATGTGAGCTCAGGAAGTTTGACTCCCATGATTCCCAGCAGCCCTACCTTGCAATGACCTGAAGAGGGAGGTATTAGGCAGAGAGCAAGAGCACAAAAATAAATGCCCAAGCAGATACCTTCCCTCTGCAAAATCGAGTCAACATTTTCTTGAAAATCAATAGGCCCACTTTCCATCTTCTCTGGCTGGCTCTTCAAAACCCTGATGTCTTCACAATACATTTTAACGATCTGTTAGCAAGAGTGCTTTTCTTAGCTGTGAAATGATGTCCAGCTCCTTTTAAGCTAAGTGGCATAGATCCAACTGATGTCCATTGTCCACAAAGTGACAGAGAACAAATCCTAGGAGAGAGTGGAGAATTACCAGCCTCAATGGCACCTAGGGGGGAGGAAGGGCAGACAGCTGGTCTGCGGCCACCTCGCTCTACACCTGAGGTCTGCTCAGAGCAAGGGCCCACTGTTCACCTTGTTTGCTCATTGCATTTCATTTTTGCTCAGTGTTCTTATACCCTCTCCGTTCCCAGAATAATCGTCTCAGAGCAGTCTGGCGATTTATGTCTCTGTGGAATTCAGGAGAGGGCAATGTAAGTGACTTAACCAGAATGGCCCAGACCAGCAGCCGAGAATAGCTCCACGCCTCCCCTTCCACTCGGCCACTGCGAGAGCTCTCTGGGCGGTCAGGCATCTTGTCTCCAGTGCTGCCGACACCCTGCTGGGCCAGGCAGCCAGAGTGGAGCAAATGTCAACAAAACACAGCCAGCTCACTGCTCTCCTCCAGCCTCTTTGCTGTTGGAAGATCCCTCATGTGATTATCTCAGGTCCCAGAGTGAATGTCCTCTTTCAAGATGGAGTCTGTTTTATTTCTTGGTCAAGGGATATAAGAAAATATCCATCATTTTGCCTCTTCTCTTTAAACCAGGTGCCTCCCTGTTTTGCAGGTTGATTACCGGAAGTACGTGGCTGTAAATCTGGCCACGTCTCATCCTCACTATGATGAGGCTGGAAATGTTCTCAACATGGGCACGTCCATCGTGGACAAGGGGAAGACGAAGTACGTGATGTTTAAGATCCCTGCCAAGGTGCCAGGTAGGAGCGGTCCAAACCCTTGTCCTCCGGGAACTGTCAGGGCACACAGTGGTGAAGGATGGTACCTTCTACAGTCTCAGATGTGGCCCTCCTGATGTGGTGCAGAGCAGCATGAGTTCTACACTGACATCTAGAGAGAAGGAGAAGTCACCAGGCTTCTTTTGGGGAAGAGGAAAGAAGCAGTCCTTTTCCTGTTCTAATATCTTTTTCTTGGGATCCAGTTTATTAATTTACCCATCGGTCCACTCATCCAACTGTCCACCTCCCCACATCTCCACCTATCCACCCACCCAGTCACCTACCCACCCACCCATCCAAACACCACCTACTCACCCATCCACCCACCCAAGCATCCATCTACCCTTCCATCCACCATCCACCTATCCATCCATTCGTTCGTCTGTCCATCCATCTGTCCGTCCATCCATCCATCCACCTACCTATTCATCCACCGGTGTGTCCATTCATCCATCTGTCCATCTACCCATCCATCGACCCATCCATCCATCTTTTCTTCCATCCATCTGTCCACCCACCCAACCATCCTCCTACCCATTTTTCAGTCTTCTGATAATCTTATATGTCTGAGTTATGTTAACCCTTTCATTCCCAGTCCCTGAATCCACTCCAGAGCCCCACCCTGTTCTCTGAGTCCTGGACCTTTTGCATTTAGGGCCAGGATCCTGGAGCATAGCCCTGAACTACTGCACATGCCTGAGGGGGTAGAGGGCAGGGGTCCTCGGTCATGTTTATCTAGAACCCTGCTGGGAAGCATACACAGGAGGCAAGGCCCCTGACGACAAGAAGCCTAGGACTCGGGAGTGCAGAACCACGAGGTGCTTGGCCTACCTTCTGACTTTGAAAAAACAGGTTTCCACCCATGGTCTGCAGTTCTGGACAACCTCTTGAGCAAATTTCTAGACTGCTGAGAAACATGGAATTCCTGTTAATTAAGCCAAGGAAAGGAGAGAGTGGGCCAAAATGGGGGTCTCCTGGGCACCCACGTTTGGCAGCTCCCTTTAGAGGAGGCAGTGGGTGAGGAGCCAGGTGACATGTCATGAGCACATGTCCCAGGCAGCTGTCTGATGAGCACAGGCTCTCGGCTGGGGGCTTCCCCTCACAGGGTGTGCTGGGATCCCACGAGCCCACAGCAGTCCTCCCACTGACCAGCTGTTGATGAGTGTGCAGGTGGCCACAGAAAGCGGGGGGGGTTTGCAGATCTCTCATGACAAGCCAGCCCCAGGCCTGGGAGGGGAGGCCTTTCGGGCAGTGGGCGATTCATCCTTGCATAAGAATGAGCAGAAGGAACAGCTATCAAGCACTCTTGAGATTCTGGGCACAGAGTAGGTACTTGAAAACAACTACAATACTGCAATCCATTCTCTACCTTCATTCTATGATAGCACATCCACTGAATAATGGGAAGAGGCCAATGCCCAGGGATTATATCTATGGCTTTGGTCAGCACGAGAGACCATTTTGCCAAGCCTCAGTTTCCCATCTGTAAGATGGGAATCACAATGCCAACCTTGGTTGTCAGGACATACTGAAAAGTCTCTCATTGCAGTGGGCACTTAATCCCAGTCCCAAGTGTTCCCGAATGGACAGTGCTAGGAGAAAATTCCTAGAAACCCTATGAGATATGTGTCAGCGGTTTCCAGTAAAATGGCTAAGCACAATCCCAGGATAAGGGGCCCTGCTGGCACCTTGTGTTGAGTGCTGAGCTGCTAACCATGAGGTCTGCAGTTTGACCCCACCAGATGCCCCACGGGAGATGTGGCAGTCTGCTTCCACAAAGATTTGCCATCTTGGAAATGATAAGGTGGCTCTGTTTGGTCCTGTAGGGTCACTGGGAGTCAGAATCAAGTAGAGGACAGTGGGTTAAGCCAGGGGTGCTTGGCCATCAACTGGGAGCTGGATAGAACTGTGTGTCAGACAGCACCTGATTACTGATCAGACTCACAGATGAACATCTCCACGTGTGGTCCATACACATATTATGGTTGAGAATCATCACACCTCTCCAGTGAGGAACCAGGAAGAGCCGGGAGGTAAATATTTACGACCTGGCCGACCACAGGGTCTCTGTTACATATATCCAGTGTTGCCACTGTAGCTCCAAAGCGAAAGCAAACCATTCACAAGGTGTATGTCCTGATAAAAGCTTTCTTTACAAAACCAGGAGGAGAGGTAGACTGGCGCCCTGGCCTGTGATCCGCTGACCCCGTCCAGAGACCCGACTGTGCAGACGGGGGCAGATGGGCATTCTGCCCTCTTGTAGCTCTCCTTAGCAGCAGTGGGTGCCTGAGCAGCTTAGCTGCGGGCAGCGGTGTTGTCTGGGGCAGCGTTGCTGAGCACTGGCTTTCTCTAGAGGACAAGAAGAAGGGGAAGAATGCCTGCCTGAAGCACATTGAGGTGTTCTGCTCCATCCCCTCACGCTCCCTGCTCGCCCCGAGCTACTACCACAGTTTCGGGGTCACCGAGAACTACATCATCTTCCTGGAGCAGCCATTCAGGTTGGACATCCTCAAGATGGCAACTGCCTACATGCGGGGAGTGAGCTGGGCATCCTGCATGACCTTCCACAAGGAGGACAAGGTAAGGCCGGCCTGCAGGTGGGGGCTGCTGGCCCCACAGCGGGAGGGCACCTGGGGCAAGGGCTGGCACAGGGGTTCTGGGGAGCCCCTCCAATGCAGGTCAGCATTAGCATGCAGGGGATTGTTAGGGAAGATCTTGAAATGCAGAGGCCTGGAGGAGAGTGGGCAAAGTTAGCCTAGAAGTCAGCAGTTTGCATCCACCTACTGTTCTTGGGATGAAGATGGGCCTCTCTTCCTGTAAGGATTTACAGCCTTGAAGGGTCACTATGGGTCAGGTCCAACTCAGTGGCGGTGGGTTTGGTGTTGGGAGGTTTAGGGATGGACTTCAGGAAGCAGAAGGAGGAGGCAGGGAGAGGCAAGTCACCACGGGTCGTTCCCCGGGGCCTCAGCCAGCCAGCCTTCCAGACAGTTCTGAAGCTGAGTGGTCCTCCAGAGATGGTGCTCCTTAGGACAAGTGGGATTATGTACATAGATAGTGTACAATGTTGGGTACATTGTCCTGGAGAGGGGGACCCTCCAGCAAGGCGACTCAACCCAGCAGAATCTCAGAGTCCACTGCCCACTGCAGGGGGCCCCAGCCCCGCCCACCATGGCCTAATGTTTGGGTGGGATGGGGCCCCGTAGACAGCGGTAGTGGTGGTTGGGTTGAGGGGGTGGAGCAGCTGTGGTTTGGGTGCAGGTTTACAGGTCAAGTTCATTTTCCCTTGGACAGTTGATGGGCATTTTCTCTCATGACATGGCTGGCTGTCCCCAGCTGCAGGTCACGTGCACATAGTGATAGAACCGTCCATCAGACAGCACGGGGACTTGTCTGCTGTTTCAGGGACGCCCATGTGCTCAATGCTTCATTGTGTTTGCAGTTGTTCCTTTACTTGCTCCCAGCCCCTGGGAGAGTTCTGACTCTGCTGGCCCTTCACTGGCATTCCGAGGCTGTACACTTTAATAGGAGGGGACTGCGGTCTTTGTCTTTTGTTGCTGCTCATGGATTTGAACTACTGGAGACCCATGACCTTTTGGTTATCAGTATAACTTGCTATGGATCACACACCACCACAGCTCCTTGTTGTTAATTTATGAAAACAAAAGTACTGAGTTTACCCCAATGTTGCCTATTAAACAGCTCCTGCATCCACAGGGCTTCTTCCCACTGAGGAGCCTCGCCTTCCCTCCCCTCCCTCTGCCCTTCAGCGGGAACCACCACCATCCTTGACAGCCTTCCACTGCCCTTTCTCCTTGCTCACACAGTCCCTCATTTGCTCCACGGTGGCTGCCTAGCCTCTCCCAAGCCTGTTTTCTCTCTTTTCAGGGAGTTGAAGGATGTTTAAGGAGGCAAAGGGGGCTAAATAAGCTGCTAGGTAAAGTGGCTTCTACTACTCAGGCCTCCTCCCGTATTTCAAAGCAGCCAAACACACAAACCTCAGTGATTTGTGTTTCTGTCCCCTCTGTCTGGAATGTTATTCCTTCAGATGATTCCTCCCTCGGTCCTGGTCTCCCCTCTGCAGTGTGACCTCGCCGATGTCTGAGGCTGGACTAGAAGGGCACCTACTCTGTCAGAGGCACTATCATCCTCTGGCATTGTTGTTGTTGTTGTTATGTGCCTCTGGCACACATACGGAATACTTTCTTTTTGATTTGCTGATGCTTACCTGATGCTTAGCCAACCCTCATATGTTGCAGGAGGGTATGTGAGAGGGGACGAGGGGAGAACAGGGAAACCAGCTGAGGTTACGTTTCCTCAGCACTTTCTCCTCAGGCACCCCAGAAACTTCCATGGGCCGGCCTGCAGAAGTCCCTCGAACCCTCAGATCTGGGGACCCTGAGCATCCCTGGGCCCTCGGAGGGCAGGACAGAGAGCCTGGGAAAGACTACCAAATGTCTCTGGAAGCAAACCTTCTAGAACATCCACATGGGCAGCATTGGGGTTGGAGTCACCGGGGAGAAAAGAATGAAAACAATCTCCCCCTGTGTTAGTCTCTTCCGAGAACCCTCTCCAGCGCTGGCAAAGCCTTCCTCTTCTGTCTCCCTCCTGACAAGTCAAAGTGTGATCTGGGGGAAGGAGAGAAAGAGGTCGACTGGATGGAAGGAGGTGGTGAAACCACAGCTCGAGCGGCCCCTCCTGCTCAGAAGGCGGTGGATGGGGCAGAGCTGCCGAAAGACAGGAAACGCCCCCCTCCTCTCTGCATTGGGCAACCGGGGCTACAGAGCAGGCTAATCCCCACCCAGGCTGATACCAGCTGTAACACCAGCCGGGCACTAATGAGTGGATGTGCCCCGCCTTGGGCCTTGCTATGATAACTATGCCTTGATAAACAGGGAGCAGTGGGTGCTGAGGTGCAGGGGGATCCCCAAAAGACAGCTGTGGTTTTGAGGGTTAGCGTCTCCAGCTTTGGATGGGGCCCAGGGAGGCCTCAGGGCCCTGGCATGATCCAGAATCACCATAAGTTAGTCAGTTAAATGAGGGGACAAGCCACTCTCCCCCCAAACCTGCCATGGTGGCCACTCCAGACACTCCAGAACGGCCAAGCCCCCTCCTCACATCACAGAGACACAAACATGTGCCCCCAGCACAGACAGCTACGAGCTGCTGAGAGCCATCAGCGTCTGCATTTCTGAGTAGGACACAAGGCTCAGGATGGAGAAGGGCATTCCAAGGCCACCAGCTGGTGGGTAGTAGAGAGGGGTTTGGTCCAGTACTGAGAGGGCCATCAGACAGGGTGCTGAATCCTCATGTCCACCTTCTTCCAGACTTACATCCACATCATTGACCAGCGGACCAGGAAGCCTGTGGTGACCAAGTATTACACAGACGCGCTGGTTGTCTTCCACCACGTCAATGCCTATGAGGACGGCGGCTGCGTGGTATTTGATGTCATCGCCTACAAGGACAGCAGCCTGTACCAGCTCTTCTACTTGGCCAACCTGAACCAGGACTTCGCGGAGAATTGCAAGCTCACCTCCACCCCCACCCTCAAGAGGTTCGCGGTGCCCCTCCACGTGGACCAGGTAAGGTAGGAGGAAGCCCCAAGCACCACTTAGACGCCAGCAGAGGTGGGAAGGAGCTTTGACTTGTCACTTATCTGATGATTGACCTCCAAATCCCAAACGGGACTGTCCTGTGAAAAATGGAACTTGTGGGTGTTTTTTTCCAAAACAGCTCATACATAGACATAGAAGAACATCTAGAAAATACAGGTAACTAAGAAGAAGAACAAAACTTACTGATGTTGAGTCTGAAGAAACTCATAGCCGCTGGCCCTCCATTCCGTTTCTGAAGCTCTGAACCATCCGAGAGGAGGTTGTTCCTTCTCCCTCAGAGTTGCTGGTGGGTTTGAACTGCCGAAGAAGTACAGCCTTAGAGTTAGTAGCGTGATTCACCAGAAATGCCTAAAACCTCCATCTAAGGTGATGGATTACTCCCCAGTCTTTACACATATGTAGATACAGTGGCAGAGGGAGGGAAATGGGTAAATAGAGAGGTGGGTGGATGGATGGACTGAAGAAGAAACATAAAGACATATATATATATATATATAGACATATGAGGCCCCTAGGTGATGCCAACAAACTGCTTTCAACTGTTAACGTAAGGTCGACGGTTTGACTCTACCTTGCAGCACCATAGCATAAAGGACTAGCAATTTGCTTCTATAAAGATCACACTTGTTTCGTGTGGACAAGTTATATTCAGTAATGCCTGAGGAGATGTCATGACTTGGATCAACTCCATGGCAATTTTTTGTTTGTTTTTCTATGTGTATGCGCGCACACGTGTACGTACGTGTGTGTGTGTGTGTGTGTGTGTGTGGCATTTTAAAGTTCTTAATTATAAGAAAGGAAGCAGTACTGTTCATGTTTTAGCAGGTTTGGTGAGATATCATTCACATAGCATACAGTCCACCCATTTAAAGGAAACAAATCAGTTCCACTGAGGGCATTTGCTGAGTTGTACAGCTATCACTGTACCTTCATCCCTTCCATTCCCTCTTGCTCTAAGCCCTCGGCAACCACTAATCTACTTTCCCTACTGGTGGATTTGCCTCTTCTGGACACTTCATATAAGCAGAACCATGCAATAGGTGACCTCTGACTAGCTCCTTTACTCGGTCTAATGTTTGTAAAGTTCATCATGTTGTAGCAAGTATTAACACTCTAGTTCTTACCCACACCACACACCCTTCTAGTGTTTGTGTCCTTCCATAGGAATTTTAAAGATTATTTTTGTTGAATTTTGGGTGAAAATTTTCACAACTTAGCTCCCACTTGAAGTTTTTCATCGAGATTGTTCCAGGGTGCTGGTTCAGTACATTCTGTGCTTGCGAACTACTGTTCCTTGTCCAGTATTTCCTACTCCTTGTCCTCTTGCCTTCCCTTTGGAGAAATGGTTGATCTTTAAGGCTCCTACTTGGTGGTTTTTAGACAAAGCTTCAATCTTACGAGTAGTAATAACAGTAATTGTTTATTTTGTTCGTCACTGTGCTTCGCTGACATCTTAGCAGTAGGCTTTGTTCTAGAGTTTCTAGAGCCTCTTGGTTTAAAGAGTATCTCAGGGGACGCCCTATTCTCTGCTTTTCCAATTTGCCTGCCCCGTTTTTGGCCTTGAGTTCTGTTCACTCTCTTTCTCCCATCTTGTCCGGCACCAGCCATCAGTGACAGCGCAGCACCGTCTGGTTCTTCTGATCGCGGGACAGGTGAGGTTGGAGCTCTTACAGACTTCGTTCCTCTCTGTGCTTTCAGCTCCCTCCCTACTCTTTTGCTCTTGGTGAGTGGAGACCCAGAGATGAATCCTAGATGACCGTTCACAACTGTGCTCACTTTACTACCATGCGATGAAGACTTTCTGTGAACGATGGCTTTTTTTAATTGTGCTGCTGGAGAGGAGTACTGACCATCTCGTGGATCACTGAAAGAACAAGCAAATCTGTCTTGGAGGAAGGGCACCCAGGGTACTCCTTGGGGGCAAGGATGGTGACACCTCATCTCACTGCCTTTGGACGTGTTGGGAGGAGGGGTCAGTCCTTAGAAGAAGGCATCATGCTGGGAGGGTGGAGGGTCATTGAAAGAAGACCTCCAAAAAGATGAATTGATGCAGTGAGTGCAGCAACGGGCTTGGGCACGACCGAGGTTGTAAGGCACAGAGTAGGGCAAGGTCCAGATCTGTTGTTCTTAGGGTCACTATCGTCATTGTCAACTTGATGGCACCTGATGTAACACGGCTTTTGTGTGAGTATGATTTTTTGTGAGGATGGTTCGGGCCAGTTCCTTCTGTTGTACACAGGATCACTTCTGCCCCTATATGAGTTAGAGCAACAATAATGTTATATGCTAACTGCTTGTTTCTTTTTATTACAAAATACATGTGGACTATTTTGTGTAATTTTTTGAGACATTAGTAAAAAGTTGTGCTGCCAACCCAAAAGCATGCAGTGTGAGTCCACCAGCTCCGCTGAGGGAGAAAGATGGGCAGTCGGCCTCCTCCTGTGCCGTTCACTGCCCCTGAAAACTCACTGGACAGTTAGTTATGAGTCGGCCCCAACTTGATGGAACAACAACGTCAACAGATAGACACTCCTCCAAACTTCTTCCCTTAACACTAAAGGTTCTCTACGGCATTATTATAATTCTCCCAGCTAGCTTCTCCAATCCTCGGCTGTTGAGTAGTCTTGTCTTCATGGTAAGCATAGTCCAATGGTAACTAATTCTATAAAACATAAGGAATGGGAATGATTATATGAAACACAATGTGAATGAAGAATAGTGTGAAACACACTGTATATGAACTTTGTGAGCAAACTAATATAACATAATTAAAAAAATAACCACCAGCAAAGAAAAAAAAACAATAAATCAGATAAGCCCCAGCAAGCCCTCTTTCTCCTTCAGGCTGCTGCCTGGGCTCTGGGCTTCACTTGTAGAGGCTCCGGGGCCTTCTGGCTCCAGAATGCCCTGACTTCATAACTTAATTCATTTAAATGAAACCAAATTAAATGAAATTAAATTTTGATGGCTCTCATTTTCTGGATGCACACTCTCTGCCAGGCACATTGCTAAGCATTTTCTTTACCACTCCTCACTTAATGACAGAAGAGACCATGGGATGCTTAAGTAAGGAACCCCACTGCCGTCAAAATGATTCCATCTCGTGGTGACCATGGAGACCCCAGAGGACAGAGGAGAACTGTCCACCTGCTTCATCCTTCTCCCCCAGGGGTTGTGTGGCCGGTTCAAGCTGCAGACCTTTCAGTTAGCCACAGATCGCTTTAACCACTACACTACCAGGGCTCCTTGCCTATGGGAGAATAAAAACTCAGTGCAGTTGAGTTAGATCCAACTCATAGCTAAGCAGGCGTCATACAGGAGGAGACTGCCCGTCTTTCTCCTTCAGAGTAGCTGGGGGATTCAAACCACTAGAGAGATGCTTCCGAGTTAGCAGCACAACCCCCTGTGAACTTCACCACCAGAGCCCCTTGTCTGAGGGAGATGCCTACATACATAATACTCCGATTTTGTAGAGGAAGAAACTGAAACTCAGAGAGGTTAAGGACCATCCTCTAAGTCACAAAGCCCAGGGACAGAGCAAAAGTCTGCCTCTAAATCCAAATCTGTTAATGGCTAAGGGGTCAGGTTGCTGCCATTTCCCCAGGCCTTCTGTCCTGAGATGCCCGGAGGGGTCATTCTGGGTTTTCCTGGGAGCATACAGCCTGTGGGAGGGGAGTTTCCCTAGAGAGCCCAGCAGGTGATCTCACCACCACCACCACAATGTTCTCAGGCCTCCCACCCCCACCGTGGGCTCCTTACCACAGGGCTTCAGGCCTTCTCCCAAAACAAGCAAGTGGGGAGCTAGGATTTGAACCCAGGTCTGTGTGACTCCAGAGCTGAGTTTCTTTCCTAGCCATCTGAACAATTGCATATCCTCCATCATTTACACATCTCCTGTGGTGTTCACCATACTTCCTGCCACCATTATTAACATTTGCAATATCATTTTTCCTTTCAGTCAGCTGGCTCTTTAGTTAATGAGTTTGAACGAGGCAATGGAAAGCCAGCAGTGCTTGTTAGAAATTCAAGAGTCATGTCAATAAGGCTGTGGAGGAGGAGAAGGCTACGTTCTCCCAGAGACTGCTCCCTTCACGTTGATCATTTGTTTGAAAGAAAACGCTGAAAGTAGGAAGGGCTCTGGCGGCAGACTCCATGGTGTGTTAACTACTAGCCAGAGGTCAGTGCCTCTCTGTGCAGGTGTGAACCCAGCAGCACATCCACAGTAGGAGAGGCAGTCTCCCTCCTTGAAAGTTTACAGCCTCAGATACCAGTTGGAGGTTACTAGAAGAAGACAGAATTAAGGCAGGAGGGTTTTCATTTAAGTATTAAAGAAGCAAACTCAAACTCGTTACTGTTGAGTCAGAATTGATTCATAGCTGATCCTTCATGAGGTTTGCAAAGCTGTAAATCCCATGGGAGGAGGCCACCCATCTTCCTCCGTAGGTGCCGCTGATGGGTTGGAACTGCCAGAGAGGCACACTGTCTGGGTTCACAGTGCAACAACTGCCATACTGGGCCACTGTCCCTTTTAAGAATTCAGTATCAATAATCAGGAAAAAAGGGCAACTAGTGAGTGTTGGCAAGGATGTGGGGACATTAGAATCTTCATACAGGGCTAGGAGAGATGTAAGATGATGTAGTTTCTGTGAAAACAGTTTGACAGTTCCTCACAAAGAGCATGGAATTAGCACGTGGCCCTGCACTTCCACCCCGACCTATGTACGAAAGCCGGGACTCAGACACTCATTCACTGTAGCCCTAGTCCTGGTCAGAAGGCAAAAATCAGCCCAAATGTCCATAGATGGATAGATGGATGGACAATAGAATGTGGTATATACAGTCAGTGGGGTATTATTCAACCAAAAGAAACCAACTTAGGTGCAAACTGATACAATGGTAACTTAAAGCGGTAAACTTCATGCTGAGTTAGACACAAAAGGGCATGTGCTATGTGATTACTCCTGTGG